AAGCTAAGTTGACCGTTGGCTTGTCTTGGGCCGGTCCCCCGTTGTTTTTTCCCACCCGGACGTGTTATTGTTTTTTTTCTTTCTTTTCAGCCCGGCCTCCGCGGGGAGGTCTTAATACTGGGCTGCTTTTATACTGAGCAGCTTCCGGAATATTATGCAAATTGCGTCCTGTTTTTAAGGTGGTTCCAGCCTCCACCGGGCGCAGCACCCGACCCCAAACGGAACACGGGAGGGGCAGCCCGACAACCACCAGAAACACGCGAAAGGACACCCGAAAACCGGGGGGCCCCACGTGGCATGGATTTTGGCAGGGGTCGAGCCTCGCCTTGCTTGGAGATCCCGTGCGTGGCAGCGTCAAGCAACCGCTGTTGTTGAGGACAGCTTGAATTCCAGATTCGGGTTGCGCCGTGGTTCAGCTGGACTCAGGCTGGACCGATTGTGGCAATGGGGTCAGGCTGCGAGTCGACGGAACTTATTTGGATGGGCGCGGCATACTGCTGCGCTAGACTTCGTGCGACGAGGCGGCGAAGGAAGGAGTGCCCGTCGTCAACCAAACTCGCATCGAGTATGGCCTGCAGGGCGATGGGAGTGCGTGACGCGCAGGGCCACGAACAACAGCCGGAGGGGACTGGAACACAAAGACCTGCACACGAAGCAGGGCCAACACGCCAGACGCGACGGAGCAGTGCGGAGCTGGGAATCGAGGAGGTGGCTGGGCTGCAAAGGCGGCGCGTCCAGCCGGGCAGCTTGCTGCCGCCCGTGCGCAAACGACCTTGACGGGTCTGTGCCGAATGTCAGCGACGTTCCTGCTGACTTCCGGCGCTGCGAGGTGCCCGCGTGCAGTCGTCTGCCCGGACGCTGACCAGGTGATCAACAGCGCGCAGGTGGGGAGCTGGCCCCCAGAACAACAGCTGCGCAAGTCCCTTGTTGCCTGGAGGTTGAACCCATGTTGAACCCCTAGGCATCTTTTTTGGTTGGCCGGAGGACCGTGGCAAGCAGAAAAAAAGCGCGGAGTAAAAGATGTTTGCCTGGTGTGCTTCTGCAGCATCAACCCGGCAGCGAATGGGCCGGATCCCTTAACTTGCACTTCGGCTGCTTCGTACGCATCGAGCCAACCAGCACGAATATCGTGTCCTATGTGACGATCTGGGTCGTCAGACCCGGCCCAACAGCAGTTCGCGAGGCTGTGTTGCCAAGAGTCGGTGCAGGCAACCGTTTTTGTTTTGTGAACATATTTTTTTTTTTACACGTTCGTTCCGCGCTTACGTGGAGTTGTTGCCCTGTGCTGCAACCGGCCACCTTGCCCTGATGGACGTTTCCCGCACTCGGATGATGCATAGATAGCGTAGCTCTCACGTTTGATGACCTGGGGCCTGCGCAAGGCCGAGCCACGGGAGAGTGGCGGCTTGAATGGACTTGTTCGCGGTGTAGTGAGTGTTTGACACATGTACATGCCGGAGGCAGCATGTTCTGCTGCGCATGGACCTCGTACGCTGGCCCCCTGACATGCCGCGCTGGCTGGTTGTCAGGGTGTTTGAGCAAAAAAACAAAAACATCCCGCGAGAGATTGTCCCGGAACCACAGCAACCAACGCAGCCGTGCCTGCACAAGCAGCAGCCGCAGCAACAGCCATCTGCCTCGACCGGGCCACGAGGGCCCCCAGCCCCCCCGTGCACACACGCCAGCTGGCGCGAACCCCCAGTGTCGCCGCGCTGCTGGACGAAGCCTCGGGCAGCAGGACCGTGTCGTCCGGCGAGCCGGTCTCGCCGTGCTGGCGTCCCGCTTTCGCGTCCGCCCGGGCGTTGGCAGAAGAGGCACGCTGGTCGACGACGTCTGCCGAATGCGCGTGTTTCTGGAGTTCCTTTGCGTCTGCTTGGTGTGCGTGCGTTCGATAGTCCTCGCCGCCGCCTTGTCCTGGCGGCGCCCCCGAGATCCGGCAGCGGACGTCAAAGCCGACGCAAGGTTAGTATCGATGGCAATACGTTCCACAAACGTAGGCGACTGGCAATGACTTCGACGCGGCAGTCACCGTCGGGGACACTGGCAGCACACCTGCGCGAGGGCAAGCGGATCTCTGATCCCCCAAGGCATCGCACATACGGCCACACGAGCACGTGGGCTGAATGGCAGTCGCGACGGCAGGACACGGAAATGCTGCGGCTCGATCACAGGCATACGACAAGTCGGCAACGAGAGCAGTGTGTTTTTGGGTTGTGTGGGTCCTTATCATTTTCAAATTTCTGACGCGGCGCCTACGCCACGCCTACGCGAAACACATCCATCCCAAAAACCGTACGCAAGATTGCTACCTGCCCAATTTGCGCAAAACTGCCACTCGCAAACGGTCACACAACCATGTTTTGCATAACAACAATGTTAAGCATGTCACGTGACAGTTCAAGCTCAAAAAATACAAAACAGACAACGCTGTCGGCCCGTCTTGCTGTATCATCCTCGGGTCACCGGTTCTCGGTGGTGACAAAGGTCAGGTGAATTGCTTGGTGAGCCACAGACCGAACCTGCCAGACTTGGCCCTTAGCAGAGGCCAAGAGTGTGGAAGGTGCAGGCAGACTTTGAAGCAAAGCGACACAAAGCGGGGTGTAGGGCCATCACCGTGTCGCACAGCGTCGGCCGCGGGAGCCTCTCTCGGCTGGAAAACATGAGGCAAGCGCATCGGGTCCATGTCCGAGCTTATCAGAACAGATTAGGATCTCATCGCCTCAACAAAACATCACAGCAGCATGCATGAAATTGTCATGAGCTGCTTTGGCACTTGGGTGTGGAGAAATGATATGAGCCAACAAAAAAGCCCTGCTGTTGTCCACCGAGCTTCGCTGGTCGGGCGCGACAGCGCTTGCAGTGTTTCAGTGGCTGTCTCGCTCATGTGCGTGCAGGGAGGATCCAGAATGCGGCAGCTCTTGCAGGGCCACAGCTGAGCACCAAGCTCAAAGGCGGAAGAGAGTCGGGCACAAGCGAAGCACGCAAGCAGACATCGTCAAGGCGCTGCAAGCTGGTCATTAGTTGTCAGCGGAGGCATCTAAATGTGTTGGGAGCACGCCGGCAAAGGGAAGTTCTACAATTTGCTGATCTTGCCGGCTGTTGGCGGTGGACGCGGCAGGTCGTTCCATACGTCCGCAACTACACTCAACCCACATTTCCAGTTCAGGTGTTCAGCCTCGCAGCATCTCGCAGCTCAAGCGAGGTATCGCCGCTGGCCAGCTTTGATGCCTCATCGAGCATTTCAAGCACGCAAGATTGCCTTTCCAGGGATTGCACCGTTCAGCACAACGTGCCTTTTAACACGTGTCTCGACATCTCTATGTGGGTTGTCTTTTTGGAGGGTGCCTCGTTTTTTGGTGGGTTTAAAAGGAAACCAACAGGACACCACAATTTTTGGAGTTCACAAAAAAAGACACACCCATATGGCTGTGAGCCTCATGGACGTTCGCAAAGGTAAATATCGCGTCGACGGTCAAATATTTGGCAGCAGGCCAGCCCGAGGCGACAGAATGGAATCGAGGCCGTAGAAATCGCCCAAGGATGAGACTTTTTCATAGGCTGATTCTTGCGTGCCAACGGTGCATACCGCAAATGAGCCAATGGCAAGACGTGCTTCTGCCATCATTCTTCGAGCCGCACCTCATCTTGCACCGTATCTAGCTGGACGCTCCTTCTTTGTTTCAGATTGCTGCGAGAACGGTGGTGCTGATGGAACTGTCCTATGAAGCGCAAGGCTTTAGCTGTGTGTAGAATTCTATCGCGCTCCAGCCCTTCCAGCTTCCTGTGTTCGAGGCCATGTGTCGACAAATGTTACACTAAGTTTCAATGCGACGCAGCGAATTCAGCAAGTCAGATTGAAATCTTGCAAGGCGTGTGCCGACTTTTCTACAAACTGAGTCATGCGGCGCATCCAGACGCGCATTCGCGAGCCTCAAACCCAGTCGCGTCCCGTGCACGATGCGGCAAGCACTCTTTTTCTTCCAGCTGCTGCAACGTGGGACAGAACCACCTCTTGTCGGCTACCCATCTCTCAGATTCTTCGCGGCCAAGCGCCTGGCAATCTTGGTCCAACCAGTTTGTTCCCTGCACATGGTGGTTCCGAAGTGGGCGTGCCCCCTGCTGGTCTTGGCCGTGCGGCATGTCTCAACACCGTTTCGCCCACGCACGTGGCTGCAGCCTCGGAGACAAAGCCATCTGGATACATCGTCAAGTACTTCATGTGGATGACCTTGGCTAATCGGCCAACATACAAGCATTTGGAAGCAAAGGCTGCAAGGTGCAAATACAAGAAGCTGCCAGGACTTGTGCCGACTGCCGGATTCATTGCACACAATTCGGCTACGACGAGGCTGTTACGCTCATGTTCTTGCCGCTTCTGGCAGCCCTTCACAATTGCAAGCCCTCTTGACACCAAGCTGCTTTCAAGTGCGGCTGTCCGGCGCATTCCTCTGGTGTCAGGACGTGCACCTGGGGCAGTTCTGGAAAAAAACAGCATCTCACGCCAATGTCGCTATGCGATTTGCAATGCATGAATGCATGCTTGTGCAAGTGCCTCTGTGTGCGTGTGCGTGAGCATGAGCGTGTGGCCGTGTATTCTCGTGTGTGTGTGTTGCTTGCCTATTCAGAACTGACGGCAAGGAGCTGGTGGATCGCGTCTGACATGTTCACCATGCGCTCGAGCACCTGCGCAACACGTCGCAAAGGCCTGCTGCTGTCGAAATGAATGCTCCTGTTGGACTAGAACAGCTATCTCACAAGGCAAGGCATCAGGGGGCGGCTTTTAAAAGTAAAAGGGGTTCAAAAAAAGGTCCATATGGCTATGGGTCAAAAAATCCCGTACCCCCAGTGAACATCCCAATCCCCACTTTTCATAGGTTCTAAAATGGGTGGTGCACCGAACCCCCCAAAATGGCATCCCATTGGTTTTGACCCATGGCCATATTTTGACAACCACCCAAATGAAAACAAGTACGAAGCCTCGGGTGGATTTCTCCAGCGACTCAGTCGTCGCCCGCGGCAGCTTTGAGATTCCTCGGTGCAAGTCACTTGCAGGTTTGCATGCCTGGGCAGCAATCAAACAACTGCAATCATATACAAACGTTCTTTTTTGGTCTAGGAGTCCTCCGCTGCCAATGCTAATTCATGTCATGCAGCCTAGCCTGTCTGTGAAAGATGTGCACCGAACAAGTTGCAGCCCCCTGGGTGTTTCTCCGGATTGGGGGACTTTTTCCCCTTCCTTTTAAACCCCCCCTGTATACTTGAGACCTGGGACCTATTTTGAGACCCTGGGCCCCCCCCACAATCCGTTGAAGTCAAGCTGCCCCTTGGAGTGCACCATCGCTGACATCACCACGGGATCGGTGCGCTCAAGGATTTGGTCCACAAACCTGACGGGAGCAGCGGCATTCGACTGTCCGTTTTCGGATCCCCTGCTAGAAGTGACAAACTTGGGGATGGAGTGGAAACCTCAAAGCCTAAAAGCCTAGATAACTTAACCCAACAAACCGACGAAACACAACGAACAATCCAAGGAATCGGATGGGAACCACCAAGGTCCATGATACTTTCCGCGATGAAGGAGGCGGCGAGCGCGACTTCGTGTTTCATGATGGTTTTTTAGGGGCATGCTCATCGTCACACCGTGAACGAAACCATGAAATTGGGGATGGATGACTGACTAATGACAAGGTGTTGGAACAACAGTTCCTTGGTTCACGTGCGGTTGGGTAAACTCATCCCACGCTCTGTGCACTTCGAAACAGTCAGCCGAGACACAATTCCTGTCCGTCACTCACCGGATATGGTTGCTGCTGCCGATACTTCCTGCAAGACAAGCTCTTCCATGACAATCCCATGACATGTGCAACCAGGGTGAGAAGGACATGTGAAGCGGCTAGCGGGAAATCCTGCTCAAGGCAAGACTCAAATCTCAATATCACCCAGCATGCAAGATAACCAAGCACACTCTGACACGGCGTCCTCACAAAGTAGAAGTTGTAGAGTGGGTAAATGAGCCTTGCCAAGGGCAGCAGGTAAATCGTGCTACGAGGGCACAACAAGAAGAACACAGCCCAGTTGACTCTCAAGGGAGAAACATCTCAAACGACATGGAAACCTGACAGAGTCCAGGTTTGCAGGCACGAAACCCCAACGCTCCAGCAAGGAATGTAGGGCTTCTCGCTGCAGCGAGAAGCTGCAGCTTGCGGGATGGGGACAGCGCTAAAAAGAAATAACACACGAGAGAAAGCCACCACAAAGCGTGGAGGGCTGTTCGAATGGACCTGCAACTGTATGCAAGACTTGATATCCGACATAAACAAAAGGTCCGATCCCAGATCGAACACAGATTGTGCAAGAGAAGTCCGTCTTCAGCCAAGGAGCAGCACCGAGGCCGATCCAGCACCGATAACGCCCCACCTCAAGGTCAGGCGCAGCTTCAAGGGGATGAGTTCACTGGAAAACACAACCGATGCGCATCTGCATTGAGTTAACCTGGAGTCGCCATGACCCTTGAAACATGGGGTCATTACCCAAAATTGTGAGGACATTGACCCATTTTTAAAGGGTCATGGAGACTCCAGGAAGTTTCAAGAAGCTGGTATTTTCCCCAAAGGAAAGGAAGCCGGCCGCAAACCAAGCAATCGAATTCGGCAGACCTGCCAAAGTTTGAGGGCAGCACATGAATGGATCCAGGAATGGTGAAGGCAATGCCGGGGGCGCAGCCGGGTATAGCCTTGCAATGCGGAGCACGGAGCAATTATCACGGGAAGTGGGTTGCTTTAATTTAAGTGGCAACTTCAACCTAGGAGAATAGAACATGAGTCATAATCAAAACCGATCGGTTTCATTATGATCGATCCCCAGAACCACGCTTCAAGAATTGAACAGGCGAATATCCGCGCCCCTGTCCCTAGCCTTCAGTTACCCGGGTTTTGATTGCAGCTGGCACAAAAAAGCATCGCATCGCTTCTTGAAAACGGTGGTGTTGGTCGGCAAATCTCTCGCTTGGAACTTGGGACCTGGCTGCGACTGTGTAAGAATGCGGATCTCATCCACCGGTACAGGCAAGGATGCAAACCACTCATCGATGTTGAACCTCAGCTCGGGCTCAAGTTGGTGGGCTTGAACATGGGCGCAAACAAGCCGGAGAGGGTGCAGCAAAATGGCCGTGGCTCAAAAAATGGCACCCAAAATTGCATCTTGGTAAATGGAATCAAACACTACAACTTGCGTAACCCGATATCTTTATTTTGAGCCACACCCCAGTGCCGGTGCACTTGTTGATGGCTAAGGCTGGGCACCATTCTTCTGAGTTCCGGTGCTGGACGAAAGGGTTCTCAACCTCCGGAGATCAAGCATGTCGACATTCAATTTCCACACCTTCAGGCACAACATACATGAACTGCAAACCATGCTTGCAAAGAACGGCACAAGCTAGTCTGAAGCTGCTTATTCCTTAATTAAGCATTTCCTTTGATCAAACCCCCTACTTAAACGGGCTGGGTACTTCGTAAGTGGTGAGTAAGCCCGGTTTTTCCCCACTAAGGAGACTTATAACCACGGCTTAAATGACCATGGCAAAACCCACCAAGTACCCTGCTCCTTTAAGTATCTCCTTGCTTCACGACCGGTTACGCTGTGCGTGTACGCTCCGTGCAGCAGGCCTCCAAGAAGAAGTTCACGCCAAGGCCTTCCTTTGCAGAATCCCAGCGATGGAAACGGACGTCCTGGGCCGGGCGCGCCATGGGGCAACTGGGCCAACGACTTGCATTCGGAAAATCGCCGGAAGTGCAAGGTCTCCTGTGATGATACTGCAAGTGTCTCCGCGGATTTCCGCAGAACTGTCTTCAGCCTCAGTTTGGAAAAAGGCGTAACCTGCCTTCATAATATGTGGCACAAGCAGGGCTGGTTCTCCGACTCTCCCTTTGTCTGCCTGAAGTTGACTACTTAAAGGGGCGATCGGGGGCATCAGGTAAGTGGTTGGTAAGCCTAGACGTATAACCCACCTATCAGCCATGGCTTTCCGTGGGTTATCTCACCAGGCTTGCTTGCTCTCACCACCTGACGTACCGAATCGCCTCGATCGCCTCGATCGCCTCCATCGCCCCCCGCATAAGTACCCCCTACCGTGGCTATGGAGTTGAGGCCCTAGGCCTGGCCAAAAGTGCCAAACAAGTGCACATAACGCCGTGAAAAGCATCCATTCACACCAGCCCTGGGTTCTGCTTTGAGATGGGTTCTGCTCTGCAAAAAGTTTTTTTCCCCCGAAGTCAGTGTGCCTGCCCAATGACGCTGACAGGTAGTCACCAAGCCGCTCCAATCAATGAATTCCTGCTGAAAAATTGCGTCTCCGGCATGGGACCAAGCACAATTCCTCACTTCCCGAGTAAACTGTCAAACAAAGGCCAGCCTGGTTTGCCAACTGGTCCAAACCCAAAGGGACTAGATGAACTCAGGGAGTGAGACTCCAAGGCTTGGGCGTCTCCGCATTCTCCAGAAAGTCCTCCACGGATACTCGGAGTGCCAGGCGGAGGTAGAATCCTTGGGTTCCAGCAGGGCCGAGGTAGTTGATCAAACTTGTCCTTCGGCCGGCCATGACCATGGGCAACTCGGCCCCCGGCCATGACCATGGGTGCAACTTTTGCTCTGTGGTTGTTCAACATTTCTTCTCCAACCGAACCATGACGGGAAAAAAAGGGAGGAAGAAAAGAAAACGTGGTCCCCCCGAAAAAAAAAGGCACACCCATGTGTTTTCTCCAGAACCAATGCTCTTCCCATGCAAAGGGCCTTTTGATCAACCCCCATGTACAGGATGGGGCATTGTTTCTCCATCGGAAGCGTTCCTCGGAGCGTCTTTTTTCGGCAAGCGACTGGATGTCACAAGTCTGAGCTGGCGACTCTCAGCTTGAAGGTCTGCAGGCGCCTATCCGCGCTCTCAAACCTCTGAGCCTATGGAACTTAAGGAGTTTTGCCGGGGAGGAGTTCCGACCAGGATATGACATACATTGACATACCGTGGAAGGAGGAAATACACTTTGAAACCATGTGAAACTTGACATGTGGATGGAGGAAACCCACTTTGAAACCATGGTCGAAAGCATGGTTGGTTGGTATTTGCATTGGAAATCGAGTCATTCCAGGGTTCCGTAGGTGCGAAATGGTTCTGGCAACCATCCACTGCTCTGAAATCGAGCGATCGATGGCAACAAGCCCATCCTAGCGATCCAAGACGAGACTTTCCAGGAAGCTCACACAAACAGAACTATGCCGCAGTGCTGATGTGTGTGTTTGTCTCTCGACACAAAACGTGCTGTGCATTGTTCTCAAGATGAATGGCTGGCCTGGACCAATTTCAAGACGTGTTGCTCTCTGTGCATGTCTCTGCAATCTCTTTGATCTCTGCAAGCACTTTCCTCAGCCTCAACTGTCTAAGATGCCGGCCAGTTGACACCGCTGGCTGCTAGGATGTACAAAGTATCCAGCCATGCATGACCTGAGCACAGGATGTAAAGTGCCCAAGGCTATTGCAGTCAGCGTAGCTAATCATATGCGTATGTTGTCGCCCAACAACCCGCTTCACCTGATTCCCACCTAAGCTGTTGCCGGCTCTGTCTGAGGAGCATTGTATGATCTGCCTCTGACACAAGATTGCATTAAGTCAGACAGGCAAGACGGGGTACTGTGCATTGCTTGCCAAATCCGTTGCACCACTTTGAAACTAATTATAGTTGAACCCCATGCATTGTTGGTTGGTATTTTTCCAGGGGAATCGACCATCATCCCAAGGTTACTTTTATTGGTGCTGCGATTTCTGGATCTCGATTTCAGCCAGCCACAGTATGCCTTCTAGGTCCTCCAGTAGAGAGGATAGAATGATAAGGGTGCCCTATTTTTTTCTGGAGTCTATTTTAGTAGAGGCACCCCACCAACCAAAACAGAAACGGTCCACGGGCAGGCGGAGCTCGCCGTACGGCGGAGCTAGGCTCCGCACTGGCAAGCGCCTGCGATGGCCACTGGCGAGGCAGGGCGCAGGTACTTCGAGGCCGGGCACTTGAGACCTAATCCGTGCGAACCGATGGGTCGAAGCTAAGCCAGGAATGCGACCGCGGATTTGTTCCTTGCTGATTTATCCATGTGGGCACGCATCAAACAAAATACTTTTTTGGTCGGTCCTCGTTTCCATGTACCAGGGTTCCATTTTGACCCAGACCCGTATCTTGCCAGCTCCAACTGGGGTCGTCGGTCGAAAGAAGGCCGCTGATGTGTCCACTAAATCAACCGTGAGCCGCCTGTCCTGTCCGAATGAAAGGCCCGGTACTTGGTAAGTCGTTAGTAAGCCTGGTTATAACCGAAGGAGACCCCTAACTATGGCTTTTGTGGCTTATCTCACCATGGTCATTACTCACTTTCATGACGTACCCAATCGATCCCCCCCAGAAGGCAAACAAAAACAAAACATTTTTCGCTTCAAGGAGGTCCCCCGATTGAAGTTTTCACCCGTTGCCAGTGGCCACACGCTCAGCTCTTCAGTGTTGACGATTTATCTGTCCGCTTTCGAAGAATGGAGGCAACGTGGATGCAAATTTAAGGTACGTACAGACACACACACACACACACAGACACAACTGTCTTCTAAAGAATGGCCGTCAGAAAGCAAGTCGCCCTTGCAGCTCTTCATTCTCTCTAGCATGGGTGCAATTCACTTGACAGCTCCACCAGATTGGTTCGGCTATGTTGAGCTCCGCTGAAAAGGGCCGAAGGGACAACCGCAAGTCTGTTCGGGAGTCTGAGCTCCCTGCAGCCCCGGGCCGTGCCATCGATGCACTCCAGGCAGCTTGAGTCGCCTCAACTTGTCGTGAAGAGGACACTCGTAAATAGCTGCGTGGGTGAAGTGCTCGAATGACGTGCACCCTGAAGGAGCATGGTAGAAACTTCCAAGGCAAAGTGTCACAGTGGAGGATAGCAATAATCTGTAGTGCGGATCATACTGCAAACGAAAAGCGGCAAGGAGCCAAGGGCATGACAGGGCTCGCATCCTTCGGTGCTCTTGTTGAAGTAGACACTTGACGAAGAGCCTGGGCACTTGGCCCATGCGTCAAGAACGAACAAAGGAGCTCAAGCAGCTCCGGTTGCAACTATTCAAGCCTGAGGGGCTGCCAAGTTGTGGCCATGGTTCAAAACCAATGGTACCATTTATTGGTATGGATGTTCACTGGGGGTACGGGGTTTTGACCCATGGCCTTGTGCATCATATCATTGTTCATGGATGCCCGACCAAGCGCCTCTTCTCAGGGAAGAACGCCGTCGCATTTCTACTAGGACTACCAGGAGGTCAGCTGAGCTCTTTGCAAGTGGTGTAGAGGCACTTGCTGCCGACCAGCACCAAGGGTGGCGTGCAGGCCTCGCCGAACTCGCGAGTTCGAGGTGGACCTGTTTGGAAAACATGCTCGGTCTGCGGCTTGAGGGAGTTCGAAAGCAAATCGCTGGTTCACTTGACTTCGGGGGATGCACTGGCTGCCGAATTCCGAATCCGTATCGGAGAGAGTTTCCTTGGCATCGACATAGCTGAATTTGCTCAGTTCGACAGTTCCATGGACATTCCGTGGTCTATCCAAGACATCAAGCAGCATCCGTCAAAGTGACCCAGAATCAAATGGGTGTGTATGTGTTTAGGAGACCCCCCAAAATGGCTGGGTTCCTGTTGTTTCCCTTTAAACCAACCCCGAAAAGGGGGTACACAAACAAAAACACACCCGAATCTGGCCAGAGAAAAGACACAAAGCTGAGTAAGGCGCGTTTTCTACCGTGAATTCAACGAATAATACGGTTTTTGTATCTGTCTTAAAAAAAGACTAAAGGTGGTACTGTGGATGGTTGCGAACTCCATTTCGCAGCACCTTTCAGAAACACTGGAATGATCATCGATTCCAACGTAAATACCAACCAACAATTGCTTCAACCATGGCTTCAAAGTGGTGCTAATTGGATTTCGTCCAGCCACAGTATCACCATCGAAAGGTGAGTCACCCCGCGCGCGCCCCCCCCGCGCGCGCCCCCGCGCGCGCGCCGCGCGGGCGCGCGGGCCGCACGGCACCATCCAAAGGTTTAAACCATGGTGCCAGAAGCGGATTTCGCCACCATCCACAGTTCCAGGGCTACCTCCCCCATTCTTTCCAGGGATCCTTCTTTCTGGAAAACATCCAGAAACCCAGGGAAAACGGATCCAGTTTTTGGAAAGAACAATGGTTGAACAGAATGGGGAATCATCCCTTAGAACAGCACCAACTCCTCCAACTCCTCCAACTCCGTGCCCCGCGGTTTCAGCGCCTGGCAGCCGCCTTGCCCGCAGCGGGAGCAGCTGGGGTGGCACACACCCCCCCGGGCCAGAACCACCTGGCGCTCCCTAAAAAAAACAACACGTGCATGGGGTCCAACATGCGTCAAAGGAGAAACCGCCCCAAAATGGCGGATCTCTTGGCTTCCCTTCGAACCTTGCTCAGAAAAAGGGAAAGTCATCCCTAAAAAGATAAAGGGGTACCAAATTGTCGCTTATCGTTGGGTTTGCGTTCAAACCAAGCCTAAAACGGGTACCTGCAAAAGAACACAGAAAGGTACCTCCTGGGAGGTTGGGTTTCTTACAAGGTCCGTTTATCTTTGGGTTTTTCCCTTCACACCAAGCCTAAAACGGGTACCCTTCTCAAAACAACAGGCTGATTCCTGGCTGTGGGCCTAGACACTTGAAGTCCTTGCACAAAAGTCAAATTCCCCCCTGTTCGACGGACTTGAGATAGCGGGGTGGCCGCTCTGGGCAAGGGGAGGTTGTGTTTTGGGATATCAATGAAGCTCGATGTGGGTGCCACTTTATGAACTATTGCCTTGTGGGGCCTCCTGTTGTTCGATTGTCTCCCCAACTTGGTGGAAGCTCAGCCGTATGTTGGGAAGCCATAGTACTTAGCAACACGGATCGAGGACTGGACGTGTCATTTCTGCCATATTGCTTTAGCCTGCTTGCCATTTCTCCTTGGGTATTAATCGCTTGGCAATTGCAATCCGGAGCCGGATACAACACGCTTGCTCGAAAGCATCGGAGTGCTTGGTGTCACCGTGGCGCCAGAATGGTCACACCTGCCTCAATAGTCTGACATGCCTTGCGCTCTAAAACATTCTGCCAGTGAAGCTGGCGAAGCTGGCTCGGGGGGGGGGGGGAAGTTTCAAAACACATGAAGCAATGGTGGTAGGTTGAGATGTGTGTTCCTTTTCAACGCACAAGCGAGGCATATTTGCATCTTCTGCTGCGGCTTTCTCTTAAAGTGGACATGCAGAGTCAAGCTATCCAGCAATCCAATCCACACCAATCTTGACCAGAATACAAACTGGAACTGTTTCAGGCTGAGGGTGGAACTGTCACACCCGTCAACTTGATGCCTTGGCACAGATCCAAAAGAGCTAAAGCTGCCCACGACATCAAAAAAAAACAATTTCAATTGGACAAGGGTCACCCGGATCTGAGTGTCAAAGATGGGCGCTCGAAAATCAAAGACCCAAGAGGTGAGTCCATCACCGGTTGAAAATCCCAGCGCGAGCATCAGTTCGATCATCTTTGCAGCTTGTCTGCGAATCATTTGTTTAGCCCTGGATCCCTGTAACTTCCTGCGATTGGGCTGTCCTCAGATCCCCTGCTAAAAGTTTAACTTTTCGTGGGTTGAATGGAAACCCCCACTAAGCCCTAAAAGTCTAAACAGCTACCGGGATGGCTGGGAGCCGCCAAGGAGTCCAAGAGTCGCACATTCAGCCCCCAGTCATCAACCCTCTAAATTGATGCGCGCAGTATCTCATGACGCAACGCTGCAAGCCTATGTGTTCGACGGCTTTCCACATGGAACGCGGAGAGATGAGATAAATTATCTCCAGTTACCTGGAGTTACCTGCAGAATATCTTGGAAGAGGCTTATGTTCTGTTGATACACATCTCATCATATTATTGATGTCTTGCATCAACAAAGCTTGCATCAAGAAAGCATCAACAAAGTATTGTCTTCAAATGATGGGCTGTGTTTTTTTGGTTTTCTTGGTGTTTATGAGCAAAGGCACCAAAAAAAACAACAAACAAAAAAAACAACAACAAAAAACAGACCCATGGCCCTGAACTAGCAGATGCAGATGATGGGCTGTGTTTTTTGTTTTTTTTTTTTTTGTTTTTTTTGTTTTTTTTTTTTCTGAAAAAACTCAGCCCCCAGGAATCTGAAAAACTCAGCCCCCATGCCGACCCGCCCTCTTAGAATAAGGGTACCCTTTTCTCTGTAGTCTATTTTAGTAGGGGAACCCTCCCCCAAGGGTAAAACTGGGGACGCAAAATGCCTGAGCCCATGCACAAAGCTCATGCCTGGTACACCAAAGGCTCCATCTGAACAAAAGAGGACACGCCTGGGCAAGCCAGAGGAGTTACAGGAATTGCGTGGCACTCGGCACAAAGTCTCGACGGATTGGATGCGTGGCGTTCACATGTTCTTCCTGTTGGACCATTTTGCAGCAATATGTTTAGCACTCGCTTAATCTTCTATGGTGTATCCACAGATTCGCCACATCCAACGCGTTGTTTCAAAGCCAGAACCCAAGATGAAGCTCATGGTATGAACCCCTGGGTGTTAGTTCACTGGACTGCCCTCCAGATCCCCTGCTAAAAGTTTTTAACTTTTAGGGGTTAGATGGAAAATATCACTAACCCCTAAACAGCTAAAAAGCTAAGGAACCGGATGGCTGGGAGCCACCAAGTTCTGTTTGAGGTGTCCTTTTGGAAAAGTACATGGGTTTCCCCGGTAAATGGAAGACCCATCCAATCCACCCAACTGGAGATCCCCTGGCCAAAGCTTTGAGGCCAGAGCGGACTTCCAAGAGCGTCCAGCCGTATGGAGCCACCTCCTGCCCAAAGCTGGGGAAAAGGGGCAGACGCACAAAGACCCACTGGTTTACCCCATTTCTACCCAGCGAAGCCAGTGGAACCCATCTGTTTACCCGATTTCTACCCAGCGAAGCCAGTGGAACCCATCTATTGCCACCCAAACGAAGTGATCAAAAGGACACCTATGAGCAGGGGTCCACTTTTGGACTACCCCAAGGTAGACTGAAACCCAGGGGTCGATTTCCGCCAAAAGGAAAACCCCTAGGTTGAAACTTTAACTGGGCGTAGTCAACCAGTATCACACACGCATAAATTGTCTTCCTCATCAATTGGACACAAGGCAAGCGGACCAGATCAGTGGATTACATGCTGCTCAGTGGACCTCGGATTCCCCCTCCGCTTTCGTGAATAGCTGAAGCTTGACATATCCCGTGTGCTGCAATTGTAGCAATCGACCAATCTTGGCGAGCGCCATTTTGACATGCCCAGATGCTCGAGGGGGTGTGCAATGCACACCCCGGCCCTGCGCATTGCACACCCCGTGACTTGCATACGAAATTGTGGGGTGTCAGGGGTCCTCGCTGATTTTTTGGGGGGTGTCGCTAGCACGCCCCGGAGACTCAAGGCTTCTGCTTTGCGCACTGCAACCTGCAATGACGATAAATCCTTGCACGCAGCACGGCCGAATCTGCAATTTTGCTGGTGCTCCCATGCGCTAACTGCTGAAGACCCGCCTGCGTCATTGACATAGCATTGGAGGGCTTCATCAAAAAGCTGGGTCAGTGTTTGATGGTTCGCGTTTCCAAATGCATTGGAGTATGCATTCCATTCTTCTCACTTTCCCGCAGCCGCGATTTTTGGTGCAAGACAATTGCTAGACAAAGACAACGCGAACCAGCCCAATGGCTGCTCGGCGTTATCAAGCGCAAACCACCCAAGCTCGTTCAAAACGCCACATGGCAAGGACACTATAAGCGCATTCTGGTCGGCCAAACTCGCAGCTTGCAACCGCTTTGCTGGCATTTGGATGCAACCACTGCACCTACCGCGTGAACAAAAGGGCGCCAGTTGCAGATGGCTCTTTGCGAGAACTGTGACGGGCCAGGCTCAGACACTCAGGGGCTCGCTTTCCAGCTCAGAGGCCTCAAGCAAGGAAGCAGACATGAGAATCTGCGTGCTCACAAACATTTCGAAACATGAGCCGTCAAGCGCTTCTGCTTCTTTCTCGCAGCAGGCATCACGATGGTTTCGAAAAGGTTCCGAGCAAGGCGCTTACGCTTGGGAAGAGTCCAAGCGAGACCTCAAGAGTAAAGCCGGCGTTAGGCGCCCACTTGAATCTCGAGTGCGTTTCGATCAGGAAACGCAGTTGTAGCCGTCAATGACAGTTGCAGCCATGGAATGGAATTCCCCGCCTTTGCGGGCAATGTCGTTGCCGAATTCGTCCATACTTGCTTGAGTAATTATGACGTATGGTTGCTTTGACAACTGGAGAGAGCTTCTGCAAAGCAGGTGTGAACATGAATAAACTCTTGTGGGTTTCGAAGGGTTTCCAAACAAGAGAATAAATACTTTGGGGAACAAAAACCACACCGTGCAGGATTTGTACCACAGCAAAAACGGCAGGCACGATGCATTTACGGGCTCTGGAGGCTGTCGGCACACGGTGAATCATCTTGCGGCTGATGCTGGCAAGTCCCATGGTTGACATTGGCAGCTCTAAAGACGAATAATGCTTTTCTGGCTTACCCTAAGTGGAGCCCTTGGACCTGCAACTTGAGGCTATGCAGCTTTCTGCAAAGCAGTGACAGGTTCGCGAAATCAAGCTGGCGCAGCCACTTTGAGCCATTTCTTGTTCGCAACCCGAGCACCGGATTCCAATTCCGTCGGATTGAGCGTGAAAGGGGGTGCCGAAACTCTGAGATTTGACGCCCCGAGCGTCGGATTCCGTCGGTTTCCGTCGGTTTCCGTCGGTTTCCGTCGGTTTCCGTCGGATTGAACGTCAAGGGGTGTCGAAACTAAGAGATTTGACGCCCCGAGCGTCGGATTCCGTCGGATTCCGTCGGTTTCCGTCGGATTGAACGTCAAGGGGGTGTCGAAACTAAGAGATTTGACGCCCCGAGCGTCGGATTCTGTCGGATTGGGCGTCGGATTCCTTTAACCAAGATTGGGACATCGATTGCTTCAGGTTTGTTTTGGTTTTGGAGCCTGGGTTCTCACCTTCAACATGCCGGACCCCCTCGATGTTTACAGGCGCTCTTCCAACGGAAATTGCAACTTACAGGTTGGGCCATCACGCATGTTGATAGATATGGGCACACTGGGAAACCAATTGAAACAAAGGGCAGTACAGTGAACACATCGTGCGTGGGCTGCATTTGCTCAAGCTGACAATTTACACTGCAATCGGTTCAGCTTTTGTTTTTTTCGGGAGTACAGGCCGGAAAGGGCGCCGATTTCGCCATGCCACAATAAATTTCGTTTGCACACCTCTTGCCAGTTGTAAAAAAGGCAACCACATGTCACAGAGACAAAGCATGTGGGACGTCGAATTCAGCGGACTTGAAAGGGCGACACGTACCTATCTGTCATTGACGGCTGCAACTGCATTTCCTGATCGAAACGCACTCGAGATTCAAGCGGGCGCCTAACGTCGGCTTTACTCTTGAGGTCTCGCTTGGACTCTTCCCAAGCGTAAGCGCCTTGCTCGGAACCTTTTCGAAACCATCGTGATGCCTGCTGCGAGAAAGAAGCAGAAGCGCTTGACGGCTCATGTTTCGAAATGTTTGTGAGCACGCAAATTCTCATGTCTGCTTCCTTGCTTGAGGCCTCTCTTCCGTTTCCCCAGCCCTGAGCTGGAAAGCGAGCCCCTGAGTGTCTGAGCCTGGCCCGTCACAGTTCTCGCAAAGAGCCATCTGCAACTGGCGCCCTTTTGTTCACGCAGTAGGGCGGTAGGTTGACGTAATGCGTTTTTCGAGAAAGGCGCGGAGGTTGCACGCAGAAGCTAGCAAGGCGTTAGCAAGCTGCGAGGCGGCCGGTTTGGCCGACCAAGATGCAGTCATCTCTTTCACCAGTGTCATGACCCTGCGTCGTGTTGCGCGTGCTTGGGTGGCTTGCGCTTGACAACGGCGTTTAGCTCTTGGGCTGGTTGGCTTTGCCTTTTTTTAGCAATTTCCTTGCACCAAAAATTGTGGCTGCGGGAAAGTAAGAAGAATGAAATGCATACTCCAGTGTATTTGGAAACGCGAACCATCACAAACTGACCCAGCTTTTTGATGAAGCCCGCAAATGCTATGTAAAGGACGCAGGAGTGTCTTCAGCAGTTAAAGCATGGAAGTACCAGCTCAATTGCAGATTCTATGCCCGGGCCGTGCTGCGTGCCATCGTGCGCGGCAGGGCTTGGCAAAAGCAACATGCTGGGAGGCTACCCTCGGCATCCTGGTGATGCCGAACAACATTAACAATGACCCCTGATGCAATGTGCAGGTGTGTAATGGGGTGCGGCCGGGATGTGTTTTGCACACACCCTCCTGCCACTGAGAAAAGTAAGCATGGCAAAGTGGAATCTCAGTGTGGCGCCCCGAATAATTAATTTGACGCCCCGCGACGCCCCGCGACACCCCGACGCCCCAAAATCGAATCGTGAGCGTCTGGGTGGGATGAAACTAACAAGGGGGGAAAAGGGGGAGGTTCTCTGGTGTCAAAGAACTGCGAAACCATGCCTTCATTCTCACAACCCAGCACGTGGTTTCAATGCGACTATGCCCACATGCTTCCGAGCTCATTGCGTGACCGCCAGGCTTTACAATGCTTGCACAAAACTGGCAACAATACAATCTGGCATGGCCCTGACACAAAACGCGCCGTCCCTGAAACATCCCCTCTAAGGACTCAGCTGCCGGTGAGGACGTCAATCCAGATACCTTACTTGACGACAATCCACTTCTCCACACTCAAGGGCCTGTGTGCAATGTGCATGGAGCAAACCTTTGCTGTTCGATGACCTTGCACGTCGTGGTGCTTTGGTCCCTGTCTGCCTACTTGGATGTCTAACCAACATCAGGGAAGTAGGTCATAACCATAGCAAGGCGACCAACCAAACATGGCCCTAGTCATAATTCCACGGCTTTTTGACCTGCTTACCTGACGCTGGCAAAAAAATGACACCCAATTACTGCACGGGGAAAACAACAAAAATGGTCTGGAACCCGGTTTCCAAGTCGATTGCTAAGGCCTGGACCAAGAAATCCCACTTCCCACCGTTGAAGCGCCACTCCAGCTCTGCATCTGGGTCGTTGGGCGTGGCTGCAAGCCTGCCAAAGTCTCAGTCTCAAGAGGCAGTGGCTCAAAATTCAACGGGGGTTACGCAGGTGTTGGTCTAGCTGGAGTCTCCATGACCCTCTGAAAATGGGTTAATGACCCCATTATTTTGGGTAATGACCCCATTTTTTATCGGTCATGGAGACTCCAGGTACTTGTCCATTTACCAGGGTTCCATTTTGGACCCCAATGTTTGAGCCACCCCCGAGCTCGCAGAGGCAGTTCGCCTCACGACGGGAAAAACCGTGCACCTCACACCATGGGCATCTTCTCGGATGGACCTGAAATCGCTTCAGCAGGCGTTCGGACCAAAACTGCCGCAACCTCCCGTGCCGATGCGATAGGCAGAGAATGAGAAACGGAATGCCCCCAACCATCCCCGACTTGGCTTCCTTTCTTCGGGAACTCAATTCCAACACCGGTTCATTCAACCAACACCCGGACTCGTTGAAGCTCATTCCCTATCGCACCAGCTGCTTCTCAGTTCCAGGCGCAACATACAAAGACACGCGCGGCATGAACCAGGCCTTGGCCGCTCCAAATCAATTAAGCTCATGGGGGCTGGGATTTTGGGGAGGGAGGGGGGGGAAGGGAGGGAGCCCAAATAGGCCCAAACAAGGCCTTAACAAGGCCTTAACAAGGCCTTATATTATAGCAAGAAGCTTATTTTGGCTCCCCCCCCACCCCTCCCCCCCCCCTCTGTTGTCTCGCTGCCAAGGCAAGAACCATCGAGGCGGCCAGTCCCATGCTGTCCCACAGATTCAAACCTGGCCCATCCATCGATTTCATGATTGGAGTTAGGCAACCAGTTATAGAATGTATATTTTATTGTTTGCTTCACTTGGAGTCACTGGTAATATGTAAAATATATCCTAAGTCTACCGCAGGTTTGTGGCGGCTTGGGGTTTGACAGGATCGAGACATGCGGGCTTCTAACAGGTAGCTGAAGGTAGGCACCGAAGTCTCTTTGCTTGGAGAATGAGAACTGTGGCTTGGTCAACTTGGGGAATGCTCAAAGAACGTCCCCGAAACACTATGTTCCCCTCCTCCTAAGGGCCTGCAGTAACAAATGCTGGCAGAATGCCTGCAAGGGTGCCTTTCTCACCTCACTTGAATGATCGTGTGCTTCACCACCGTCAAATCTTGTTTGTAGGCTACTTGAGCCACTTGACATCGGCACTACCCCTCTTCCAAACCCAAAATGACTCCTTCGATTGCTCACCCTGATTCACCAACGATGGACAGTCAGTAGCTCACGTGGTCATGTCGGCTCACAAAATCCCCAGGCCTGCCAGCGTACCTTTGCGACGCAAGCGCTGCTTTTCTTCTGGATGTGGTAACGTGGTATAACACACAGAGACAGGCTGCGCCCGCTACAATCATTGGAGATGAAGCCAGTGCTCCAGTGGCAATGCTTGGCAGGCAAAACGCTGACGAGTCGAGAAGATGCCTGTCCCAACAGGCTTGCCTCAAGTTAATGTTAGGAGCGTGCGGCGTCAGCATGGGTTTGTCTTTATTTGGAGGGTATACCCTTTCTTGCCATGTAAAGGACCTTTTGATCAAAACCCACCTGCGTGTGTGCTCCTCTGAAGGCCGCGCCTTGTGGTGGATAGGTCCGCGCGGGGTCCGGTGTGCGACCCTCTCCAGAGGAGCGAATCCTGGAGCGCACCACTCGCAGCCTCAGAGCATATCCCCACCATATTATTTAAATGGTGGCGATCGGCTAGCTCAGGTAAGCCTCTGAGAAAACCCAGGGACACCTACTTTCAGGGGCATTGTACTTAGTAAGTGGTTAGGAAGTGTGGTTATATCCCACAAAGGCCATGGCTAATCCTAAGTGGGTTATAACCAGGCTTACGAACCAAGTACTTCCTCTCTTTCAAGGACATGGGAAATAGTCCTGTCGTCCCACCTCAAAAGGCATCTAAAGAGGCAAAGCGCTATGTTGACAACTGCGCGCACTTGCAATAATCGACTTGGAATCGACCAACTTTGTCCAGATTCACTTCCAGCAACTAATCGAACAGGAATCAAACAAATGTCCAGATTGTTGGAAGGGATTCCACGCAACTGGTGAAACACTGGGCACCAAGCGCATACTCCTGGCCACCAAGATCAAGCCTGCACAAGTCCCAGCAGAACTTGTGGCGTACCCGCAGCCCCGTTGGGGCTGTTGAATCATTTTGCGAGCATCGCTGGATTGTTCCCCAAGCTTACATGCTACATGGCAAGAAACCACCTGTCTGTTTCAGAAGAACTAGGTCCAGAGACACTGGATCTTCTCCTGGCCTCAGCTCGAGTGCTTCGTCTGGCTGCACCTGAGGAGCTAAGTCTCAACCGTCGATGCGGCTGGAGGCGCCGCGGCGTGTCAGGAATCCGAACGGCTCTGAGTGGATTCTCCCCCAAACCAAGTCCAAACTTTCTCTTATTTACCACTAAAATGGTCTTTCCAGAAAAATCCAGGTCCAGGAACTCGAGAAGTGATCGCAAAAGGTGACACCACACACCTGAGCACTGAGACTTTGGCCGCGACGTATGCCGAGGTTTGGCCCGGTGCCAAGGCGGTGACCAACCTCATGGACCGAAGGCTGGCACTTGGGTCACCCGAAGGGCTTCTGCTAACCTGGAACCCCCCAACAAAAAGAAGCTTGTTGTAGTTCTGAGATTATGGACGGGAGTGTACCCTTTTTTCTATAGTCTGTTTTAGTAGGGGAACCCGCCCCCAAAACAGGGTGAAAGGGCACTACTCAGGGACCCAGTCCACCAAGAAAGGGCAGTTGAGCACCAGAAAACACTGTTGGCAAGAAGTACGCGGGCAACTTACTCATATCTCAGCAAGCGCCTCCAATTGGTGGTTTGGATTGGTAGCTTGGTGGTTGAAGGCGGCTTTCCATTTCTACAAAAGCCACCGGTTCAAATCCCCACACAAATCCAACCACCAATTAAACCTGAGCGTCCCTTTGAGTCATTTGCATGAAATCCAGTGACCAGCCGGGCACCAGACCCTCGCAAAGGTACCCTCAAAGCCAAGGCTCCTTTCGTCTCCTGAGTAGCGGCTCCGCGGCGGCTTAGCGGTCGGGGTGAAGCCAAGAAAATCCCAGATCATGATTAGGGTATGGGTCAAAATAAACCTACCAGGGGACCGCAGATTTGAGTCCTTAATTCCATTTGCCAGGATTCTAATTTGGGTACCCATTTTTGACCCACAGCCATATTGCTTGCTGCACTTCGAGTCACTGGTAAAACTTGTAGAACGTGCTTTTGCCAAGGCTACCCCAAACGATTTTCGGCCGGTTGATTTGGCCCTCCTGAATGACCCCGATAAACCATCCCATATGGTTTCCTTTAAGGGAATTGATAGGTTCATTGACAACAGCCTGGGTCATTCCCTACTGAACACCAGCTTAGAAAAGCAAGCTTCTTTTATCATGGATCAACACGCCAAGAGCTTCAGGACACCTATTGATTGTGTCATGGGTCTCTATTCTTTCTAGAGGGTACAGCCGCCGAGGAAAACTCTCCCCATTTTTAGAGGTCACTGGATTTCCCCTTCAAGTTGCAATTTACTGGTGGTTTCTCTTGAAACTGCAACTTTTGGAGGTTGCAAAGGGAAAATGAAGGAAACCCTGATGACAACTCCCCCTCATTTTGTGGGGCCCTCATTAAAATCTGGGGGTGTCTTTGTTAAGGTAGCCGATGTTGGATAGTTTTTAAGGGAAGCCAACGGAAAACCATCGTTTTGGGGGGGGGGGGTCTCCTACACCTCCATTTGCTTAAGTCCCCTGGAGAAAACTAACAGATTTCCAGTAGTGATAGATTCCCTTTAAAACCAACAGGGGATTCTTAACGAAATGGAAGTAAAAAACGACACACCCGTTTCGAGGCACACTATTTATGTGTTGGGTGTTTCTTTGGCGGGGGGTCCGATTTTTCCAAAAGACGCAGACTCGTGAGCCGTGGCTCCGCGTCCACGCGGATGGCCACCATCTCCGTGTCGCTGGGAAGAGCCAAAGAGTATTCCAACCGGGCAGCGCCTCCGACCAAGGCGGAGGAGGGGTCTCAAAATGGGTGTGTCATTTTTTGAGGGGACCCCAGAACGAGAGGCTTTGAGTGTCTCAGACCCCCTGCTAGTGTAACTTTTCGTGGGTGAAATGGAACCCAACCCCTAAACCAACCAAAAGCAACGAAAAGTCAAAGAAACACCCGACGATTCGCTGGCATCACTTTCCTGCCACAAGTTGCTGTCCCTCCAGCCCCAACCGGACGAAAAGCTTCGATTCGACGTAACTGAGCTGCGGGCGCCAGAAGAGCGGCACGGAGGCTCCGATGCTCTGCTCCAGGTACACCTGGCCGAGGTTTCCCAAGGGCCAAAAACAAGGGCGTCACGAAATTGGGAAGTCCAGCGACCAGCGAATGGCAAGGAAAACATATCCGGGTGCCTGTTCTTGGGGTCCGCGGGGGACCCCCCCTAACATGGTGCCAGAAATGGGCTACCCTCAAGAAGAAGCGTGCTCATCTCTGTCATGCACACTGTGAACTTGTTGTGGCTGACATTGCTCTTCAAATTTGAGTACTCCGAGCCAGCCGTCGGACACTCTTTTTGTTCTGGCCATGCCAGAGAGGTCGTTATCTGGGCGCTTTGCGCCACTGAGCAGCGCGTCTTCACCTGGCAACTGGTTCCGCTTTCTCGGCTTAACCTCTGCCCTATACGCGTGAGATGGCATGAAACTAGTCACACTTCCGGAGCAACTAGGTTTTCTAGAGGTCCATGGGGGATCAATGTACAAATATGTGTATATGTATGTATAAAATTTCATATATACCATGTGTACATTATACAGGTGTTCCAATGGCCCAAGGCCTAAACCTGAGTCCTTGGGATCCCCATTTAGCTTGTGTTCTAGTCGCCCATCGGGGCCTTGAACAGCTTCCGGCGACCGCTGCGGCTTCAACTACAAGCCGTAAGCAAAAATGCGGTGCCTGCGCCATCACCGCCAAGCATCGCCATCGTCTTCTGCTTCGGGGCTTTGGTCCTAAGTGCCCATTCGATGCCCCGGCTGTGCTGTCGGATCTCGAGAAATCGTGCCGCTTTCAGCCGAGCATCCGCGAAACGCTGCATCTCAACGGGATCAGTGACTGTGGATGCACCCACTACCACGGCGGGCCTGCAGAGAGTATCTCGCTGAGACTTCGGACTTGTACAAGGAGGTTCAATTATCCGATTGTCTAGGAAATGTTGAAGCAAAGCTCTGCTACATAGAGCTGGACAACAATTGTGTATGGGGGAATGCTCTAGTTCTAACGAAGTCAGTGGGGTCTTCGAACAGCCACTGCTCAAAGCAACTCAGCCGCTGCACAAATAACCCGCCGGAGAAATCGAGGCAGCGTGTTGATAAGTTGCCGCCGGCAATAGGCTGATGCAGGAGCGAGCAAGTCTGCACTACAGCAACTTGACACCTACGCACTAAGCTAGCAGTAGTTCGGCATCCACTTCAAAAAGTGGGTTTGCTGAACCAAAACGCGCCACCAAACAAAGAGCAAATCAAACAGCAGATGGGACCCGGGGACCGTTTCTTCATCCTTGCAAAATACAAACTCAAGAACTATCGTTGTCATGCTATGCGTGCTTGTCATGGGTGTCTACGTGCCAAAAATTGATCCAGAAAACTTGTTCAGGCTGATCAAATGGCCTCGACTTTGCGTTTCGCTGAAAACCGAAGGAAGCCGGACTTCTCAGGCCGCGCCTGTTTTGCTGCTGGGTGACCGACCTGCCCCAGAACCTGCCACGAGCATTTGAAGCTGAAGCACAATGTCTGGAAGTGCTGCACGGTACGCATCTTGGCGGAGCATTCTTGCTGCTGGTTTCCCAACAACGAACGACAACAAATGCGGGATAGTTGTTTTTGTGCTGGCCGCGACAATCTCTTGTAAGTGAGGCACCTATGCTTCCCTGCCCTGCTTCGCCTGAGTATACCACACGCAGGTTCCTGGCCGTCATCGAAGTCTCGATGCACTTGGTAGTCCTGAGGACAATGGCCCCTGAAAGATATTTTGGACGCGTGACACAATTGGACAGCTGAATTGACAAACAAGTCAATAGTGCAATGCATGCGCCGGAGCGGTGGTCATTTCAAACTGCCATGGCCCAAGGCAAATTCTTCCAGATATACAAACAAAGATGTGCATGGGTGGCTGCTGCCTCTTGAGTTCCAGCAACCACTTTGTTGATTTTGGTTTGCCTGTGTTCTGCAAAATTACGCAGCCACTCGTGTTCCCGCTTACACACTTTGAATCAATAGGCAGTGCAAAGCAATTCCCAGGAGTACCACTCCTGCAAAGTCACGGTGTTTCCTGCTTGACCCATCATTCTGACTACCCATACACCCCTTTTCGTCGAATAGTTCAAAGTTTTCACAGCTTCAAATTCGGGTCCCTCTTTCGGTGGGTTTTGGAGGGAAACCAAAATGGTGAAACTCTCATTTTGGAGGTCCAACCTTAAAAAAAAGAAGCAACCATTGGTTGTCGCTTCTGGGCCGCCCTCAGATCCCCTGCCAAAAAGTTCAACTCATTTGTTAAATTCAGAAACTCAACCACTAAACCAACCAAACAAAAAGATACAAAGGGCTAACATATCTAAAACGGCCAGAAAAAAAACACCTCTAACAGCCTAAGAAACCCGGATTTCTGGGGGTTCCTCTCACTCCTTGTCCCGTTTTCCGCTCCCACCGCGCGCCTCCTGCGTGGCTCTGGACAGCGGGAAGTTGGAGACTGAGAGCGCCTTCTCGAAGTCCGAGCGCGAGATGTAGCTGAACCTCGCGAGCTGAGCAGAAGGCTTAGGCTGGGATCGATCCGGGATCCGGTAACGGGGGGTAACGGGGGGGCGGGGAAAAAGCAGAACTGATGGGACCCCCCAAAGTCGTAGAAGTTCTCTTTTTGGGTTTCCCCTTAAAGCCAACCAAAAAGGGATTCACGGGAAGAAAAGAAGAGCCACCCATGGGATCCTTACAGTGAATACACCTGAACATTGCAACTTGTAAATGGTGGTTTCCAACTTTATCTTGGTGTTGAAAAAGCGACATGATTCAAATGGTTGCAAAATGTATCTTTTAAGGAGCCTTGCAGAAGGCTGGCAACAAAATCAGCGGCTTGATTGACGTTGGAAAGGGAGCAACAATTTAAATTTTAAAGGTTAGCAGTCAAGTGGTTGGATTTCAACCACTAAGCCACAAGAAGCAAAAGTGTAAAATGTTTCCCAACAACAACCATGGGGGGATACCCCCCTATAGAGGGGAGGGGGTGGGGTTAGGGATCCAATTCACCATCTTTCCAGTCTTCCCCATACAAGGGAACATGGAACCAGTAGTGAAATTTGAGGGGTCATCCCTCTCCCCCGATTCCAGTTTGTCCTAAATTGATATGACGGGGGGCTTTGACTTTTTGCCAAAACTCAGGTTCCTCAGCGTGGAATCCAGCTATTGCGGGGCCCCTTTTAGACAAATTGGTGGAAAACAAAGGCTGCAGACCATGGTTACAAAGAAAGGACATGCCTGGACTTTCCGGGTCAAAAATATTGGGCGTTGGCCAAAACACACGTTTTTTGGCGTTGGCGTGACATCCTCACATCCTTGCGGGCGCGCACACAGCGGCAGCAGTGTGGCGCGCAGGTTCAGTCGGTCATCCTAGATGGACCTAAAAGGTCGAGCAAGGTCATTGGTGACCCTGATCGGGCGGGAGCTTGTGAATGCTCTGATGGCATTTTCCGCAAAGTGAACTGCATTCGCAGTAAGAGAAAGTGTCAGTCCCGATTGAGGTGGACTGACTCGAAGCTGGGCGAGGTTTAAACCCCGTACCTCACCGATGCTCAGCTGAAGCGTGGCCGCAACAGCGCGAAAAAAGGCTCGAGTGAGTCTAAGGTCCAAGGCAACGGTGGGCGGTGCGAGTGCGTACGATGAATGCGTTGTCGCATCCATCCACCTTTCTCCATGGCTTGAAGCAACCCGAACCGGAAAATGGATGCCATCATGACGAAGAATCGCAACGAGTTCAAGCCATGAAAAATGGATTGCAAAATCAGAGTGCAAGTGCTGTTTTGTCAGCCACTCTACGACCTGTGTAGTGAAGACAGGCCCAAAAACGGCAGCAATCTGCTGGCCTTGAGAGGTGTGCACGAAATCAGGAGGGACCCACTCGGTCCAGGAGTCAATCACGTTGGGCCTTACGATCAAAAAGGCCGGCTCAGGGGGCTGCGACTCAACTGAGTCTGGATCAGGATCTTCATGGCCTGCAGGGAGGCGAAAGCGTTCAGCAACCTCAAGGTGAAAGCGGAGTAGTTTGTGCATGCGGAGGTTCATGTCGGCCTCAGCGGCTTGGTACTTGTCCCACAGCCCGGCAAAGTCTCGACCCCGATGTTGATTATAGAACTTTGCGACGACATCGGCTTGCTCATTCCACATTGCAGTCCATGCATCAGCAGGGTCGTTGCAGTCCAAGGGGTCTTGATGACTTGCGAGGTGATAAACTCGGAGTTGACCAGGCTGAAGTAGATCACAGGCGTCCCGAAGGCACTGCCATAGATCACCATTGCTGCGCGGAAGGTCGGTTGGGTCCGCAAGTATCCTCCAAGTGCCGGTGACGGCATAGGAGGAATCTGACCAAACATGTCCGCGTAGGTGACAACGAAGTAGCCAGTGAACCGAGGTGATGATTGCTTGGAGTTCTGCCCGGTTGCTGGATTGCAGGATTCCTCCCAATGGGCCAGCTGCTATGGTTCTTCCGTGGGTGGCAGAGATGGCGGACCACGCTGCTAGCTTGGTAACCGTTGTTGTGGGACAGGTACATGAACCATCTGTGAAAATGTGAACTTCCTCAGCACCCTCAGCGAGAAATTCGAATTGTTCACAGCGGTTGGGAATGTTCTGGAGCGCCTCCTTGATCTGGGCATGGTAGAGGTTTCTTGGTGGCAGGAGTCTTTCCCGTAGACAAACGGGTGAATCGTGCCAAAGCCTTACAGCAACATGATGTGTGTGCCGTACATCAGCGAGTGCAGGACATTGAAGGCACCTGTGTGTGATCGTGTCCTCCTCTCCACAGTGTCGGCAGGTGCCGGAGCAAAGGCAGTCGTACTTTCGATGGGCACTCGCAGTGAAGAAGGCTCCTTCTCGCTGCGCATTGATGGTAGCTGTTTCCAGGGCAGTGAGGCCCTTGAGTGAGCTTCTGCAGAGGGCGCCATTGATGCCGTCCAAGTCAGTGTAGTCCTTCCGGTGTTGTACTCCCCGAGCAAGATATTGATGCCATCCATCCTCGAGGGCATGGAAGAGCTGCTGGTGCGAGATGAGGAGAAGGTTGTAGGTGATGTTGTCGTGATCAACAAGTAGAGGTGGAGTAGTAACCCGCCACGCGATTTGGTGGAGTTGTCGAAGAATGGTAGAGAATGGTCCTGCTCCCAGTGTGCCGTCGTAGGCCTCCATGTAGTACTGCCAATGTTCCAACGTGGAAGGTGTCTTGCTCAGGACACGTTTGAAATCTTGTACGATGTGCCATAGCTGGTAGAAGCCAGGATCCAGAAGGGTGCGATTGGAAAGAAGTCCAAGCCGTAGCGCCGGAGCCGCGCCTGCACGTCCGTGTCCAAGTGCGCGAACCGCCTTGGTCCTGAGCTGCTTGATGTGTTGAATGCCCAGGTCCGAGATGGAGGCCGAGTGAAAGATCTTGGGCCACAAAGCCTGGTAGATGACCCGCTGCTTGCATGGTTCCGGAGAGTTGGCCCTTTGCAGCTGTGACCAGCAGGGCTTCACTTGCCGAAGGAGATCTTCATGACAGGCAGTACGTCGTTGGCGTCCATAGGTCATTAGGCCACCAAGGTCTTTCGCTTGATCGACCACTTCAAGGCGAAGTTGTTGAAGGAAGGAGCGATCTCTTGCTTGGAGAGCCCAGGCATAGGTCTTGTTGTGATCTGTGGCAAGCTGAAAGAGCTCCATGAAGGAGTCCTGAGTGATGATCGAGGTCATGAGGTCCCCAATGTTGCTGGCAACCTGCTCGAGGTTGTCCACATAGGAGAGCGCAATGGAGTTCGGCGCGTAGATCGATTGATAGGTGTGGTAGCACCAACTCACAATGACCATCGCGAGGCAGCTCATGCCGAAGCCTTCCGGGTATCCGTTGTTGCTGGAGATGGGTGGTCCAACAGTATCGCGTACCCGAAAGTGTCGGTGCAGGCCTCCAAGAAAGCGATGCCAAGCGCCAACCAGATTACGTGGTAGACCAATGTGGAGAGCAAGAGCTTGTACGTGTCGGCGTGGAAGACAGTTGAAGGCTTTGCAGATGTCTGCAACGTGGCCAAGTAGGGAATGGTGCTGTTGTGATGAAAGCTCAATGAGGCCCTGCAATGGGAGCCAGATTTGCTTGGTCTCCCTGGTGGGAAGGAAGCCAAAGGAAGGGAAGTCCAGCAGGGGTTCCAGGAGCTTGAGGATCTGTCGAGACCTGATCGAGGACCACGCCCGATAAGTCATGTTCAACACCACAATGGGTCTGAAGTGATCGACATTGGTGGCATCGTGAACCTTGGCGATTCCAGTGGCAAGGCCCTGTAGAAGTTGCTCCGGCCAGGGGGCTCCCGCTTCGATGCCTCGAAAATGATCCAGAAGCACTGCTTTGAAAGGTGAGGGCATGGCTTTGAGATCTGCGGCATGAATGCCATCAGGTCCTCTTGCAGAGCGCTCACTGAAGTGATTGAGGGCAGCTTCCCATGTGTGAAGTTGCAGGTCAGGTAGAGCAAGGCAACCCGCCGGGACATAGGCCCGAGTGAAAGCCGTGAATCTATTCCAAGCTTCAGCGGGGAGCTCGGCGAGTGTGTTCCACCTGGTTGTCCAAAAGTTGGTGAGTTCCTGGTGGATTTCGTCCTCCATGGTGAGGTGACGGTTACATTGCAGGTGCTGTCCGGGAACGAGAAGGATGTCGGTGTCATCGACCTGGTATGTGCACGGGCCAATTCCACAGACAAGGGCCGGTACCTCATTGATGCGGCAAGTATTGAGATGTCCAACTTCAATGTCCCGGTCGGTGAGAATCTGGTTGCCATCCTCTGAGACCGCGATGATGGTTGCCGTAGACCAGGTCTGAAGCCAGTCAATGGCAGGTTTGCTGGTATCTCTGATGGACTTGAAGGCAAGATGCTGAAATTGTTGAACTTTGGCCCTCGCGCACTTGCTCTTCTGTCGAAGATTCCAACTCTCAAGTGCACGAAAGTTGGCTTGGAAGTCGTGGTAGATGAGGTCCGCAAGGTCAGTGGATGGGCAAAAGTCTGGTAGTGTGTGAGGTGAACCTTGGTATCGATGTGGTCTTGTAGCCCACCATTGAGTGAAGTCTGGTGTGAATCCAGTAGCTTTGCGAATAGCCTGCCAGCACTCGACTCTGTATAGTTGGTGGGTGGCATCATCGTGATTGGCCTTGAGGTTGTGGAGAAGGCTTTGTATTCGTCGGAGCTGTTTGAACCATCGGAGGACGGTTCTACAGAGAAGTCCCGATGTAAGTTGAACTTCACCAGCGCGACTCGGCTTAGCCCGTGGTCCATGTAGTACTTGCCGCTGACGATGTAGTTGTTTGCCGCGGCCGAGACAGGTCGGAGGAAGTCCACGGCCATGGAGTTGTCGTAGATGAGCATCAACTGAGCCTTCAAATGCTGTGCAAAGTGCAGCATAACTAGTGGTGGTGTCATGTGGGTCGAAGGCAGGTGGAGTGTAGGTCTCCGCGTGATACTCAGGCTTGCGTATTTCATCCCAACGGATGAGGCTGGGCATAGGCCAAGTCCACTTGGTAG